GTGAATTCAAGATGGCCTATATCCAATATAGCGGACGAGTTTTGTGATTATGATATGATTCTATTCAACATTTGTCTCTGGAGGTTTTCAGGAAAGGAGACTATGAATCTTTCGCAAAATTGGAGAATTCTAGATGGCGGATCCAATATGGCAGATTAGTTTTGTAATCTTATGATCCGATTCTATGGGTATATGTATAGTTGTGCTATCAACTGAACACAACCTCCTGAACAGGTAGCTGAAGCTCATAGGAATCAAAGATGATCCCTACATACTGATTGAACTGGTGCATCAGAGAAAAGCTGCCTTTGGGAGCATTGTATCGCACTCAATGGATGTGAAAGTGATTCAGCTGAGGAAGCTGCTGAAAATCGTCAAGAAAATTGGCATGCCCAGCTGATTCACAGGCTCGACTGAATAGTACCTACTCAATCTATTTTATATTCTAAGGAAAACCCTAACGGCTTGAATCCCTGCAGAATGAACTGATAACTTTGGATGTGAAAATTATAATATCCATTCATTTTGAATTTTCTTCTTCCTAGGTCTCAAATATTTTAAAGACCACTGCTTTCCATCAATATGGCTTTACCTTTAAATAGGAGTGCTGTTCAATGCAACCTCGAAGAAAAATGCGTCACCCTCTAAAATGTCCACAAGGCTTCCAGAAACATATTTCTTTCGTTGAAATCGGCAGAATTTGATTGGAAACTCTTATTGGAGAAAGCGAGGTCATTTTATTGCTCAATTCCATGCTTTTTATTTAGGAAATATATTGGATTCTTGATGATATCCATCATTGTGTACTTATTGCTATTTCGTTCTAGTATGTCTGAAACTTATGTCTGATTCAACATAAAAACATTGATATTCGACTTTTCATACCCTTCCCAGTATCTGACATAAAAAATTATGTTTTGCAAAATTTCTTGATGAAGGTAATTCGCACTTGATTGCGGTTCCTTATGGAAAAATATATTCACTTGATTCAATGATATTCTTCCATGAAATAATAAATTATCATGCTCTACATATTTTTCACCTGAACAGTACGTTCCCCTATTTTTACTGATGATGAGACTTCGAAGCATCATTATACAACATTTATAAGACACTATTTTGTCGCACTAGTTCGAAAATATGTCTAATAAAACGTGTATATATATGTATATTTCTTTTATTTTTTATTCATTTGTACCCTTTTTTTTAAAAAAAAACATCGAATATCAGAAAGATCATTTTGCAGTAGGTCTAGTTGGTAACAATAATATAATAACATATAATCTCCAAAAGTTCAAAAAAAATTCCAATACCTACCTCCTGTCCCTATCCTCCCTAGGAACGCACGATGTTCTTTGAACATTATAGGGATTCCCTCTCGTGCGCTCCAAGCGATAAAAAAAAAAAACATTTGAATGTTCATTCTCAACTTTGACAGATGGTACAAAAAAGTATTTAAATGAAAATAATTATCCCAGTGATATATAACTTGAAATAGTTAGCCCATCAAAAAGAAAAAGCATATAATGAAATAGAATTTTTTACTGGAAACAGCCAATGTATTCATTAAAGGAGGGTGATTTTATTTGAGCATTGTAAAATGGATTTGGTGTTTTCAATGGGGATGTAGCTCAGTGGTAGAGCGTTCGCTTTGCATGTGAAAGGCCCCGGGTTCGATCCCCGGCATCTCCAATTTTTTTTATTAGCAATATTTGTTTTGTACTTTTATTATGCAATACCAATTTCAATAGGTTCGTACTACAGAGACTATTGCCACAAGGCAGAATATTAAGAGGAAATGTATACGAAATCACTAACACATAATAATTATTGATTTCTCTGAAATGAAATTATTTCATTTCAGAGAAATCAATAATTTGGAATCATGTCTATACCTTTTCAACTTCAATTTCGGAATCGGTGAGTTATATTTCGGAAAAAGTAATCTCGATTTCAGAATTGGTTAGTTCGATTTCAGAAATGGTAAACTCAATTTCAGAATCGGTGAGATGAATTTCAGAAAAAGTCCATTCAATTTCAGAAATGGTAAGTTGCATTTCAGAATTATTATTGGTAGGTTCAATTTCAGAAGATGAAATCCTTTTATATGTTTGAAATGTTTCTAATTGCAAAAGAGAAGATTGTTTGAAGTGGATGAACGGTGTTTGAGAGCCCTATGTTGAATCAGAAGTCAGAAGTGAAGAGCTTCTTGTAAGAGCATCGCTAAAGGGTCATAGCTGGGGATCCGAACAGCTTGCTCAACCAGATAGAATTCAGACTGCGATGTCTTGAGGAATGTGCAGATCATTCAATGAGAATGATAACACCTGAAATGTGTTTGCATTCTCATAATCATGTGCAACGCTATTATCTTCCAGCGATTCGGATGGAAGGCATTTGTGGATTAAATTGAGATTATAATTATGTTATTGAATTGTTCTTGACGAGTTGAATATTGTAAATATGTTGAAAAGGAATATTCTCAGATAAATTATGAACATACAAAAATGGATATATATATTTATATAAAAACAATACATTGAGAATTCGCATTCTCTATGTGATGAGAATATTTACTCTTTTTCAGTTAATTCAATAGGAAACAACTACTTTCCTGGCTATATGCCACGACGAACATTGAATTATATCTATTGAACACACACGATAAGAGTTTGCAAATAAAATATAAAAATATCTGAAATTGAGAATTTGCATTCTCCTTCAGACAAAAATATGTATATACACACATCATCTCACATACAATTGGAAAGATTTCGAACAAATATAAGGATTTTTTTTCTGAAATTGAACCTACCAATTCTGAAATACAACTTACCATTTCTGAAATTGAATGGACTTTTTCTGAAATTCATCTCACCGATTCTGAAATTGAGTTTACCATTTCTGAAATCGAACTAACCAATTCTGAAATCGAGATTACTTTTTCCGAAATTGAAGTTGAAAAGGTATAGTTCATTATTGAAATGTTGGATAATTATTATTACCTAACATAGTTTACTGATATGACTACAGAAACTGGAAATACGAATACCTACTTGATATTGCTCAAAATAATATAATTTTGAATCTTTGGTTTGAGATCCAAACACGTGCTGGCTGTTTGCCCAATCAATTTTATTGATATTTCAATTGAGTAGCGCTTTCATGGCACAGGGCCCTTCATTTATTTCGAACCCGTATTTTTCGACTATGAGCATTGACAACAATTTCACAACTAGTAGCATAAACATTTTTCAACTCGAAATCGAAAACTTTCAATTAGGCTGAAGATGATTTTTTATTAGGCCAAAACCCTTATAATTGTGTAACAACACCATCAAAATTTGTAGAGAGGATATTGAGCATTTTTCTTGCTTCCTTTAATATAATAATTTTGAAATAAAATTCGTTGTTTGGCAAATGATGAAATCATTCCATGCTTCACCTATACTCTTTCGATCACTGGATCCTGGCAAACTGAAAATAGTGTTAGTAACACAAATTTTCAGCAAATGTGACTGTAATTTATTTGAAAATTACAGAGGTATCAGTCTACTCTCTAGTATATCGAAACTTTTCGAAATCAATATAAAAAATCAACTTGTTTCCTTCTTCCTCCTGGATTGCAAGTTCCATGTCTGCGGGTTGTTCGTAGACTTTTCAATAGCCTTTGATTGTGTAAATCATAGGCTTCTTGTATTAAAAATGGAGCGATATGGTATTAGAGGAGTTCCCTTGGAGTTGATGAAGTCCTATTTGAACGACAGAACCCAAAAAGTAGTCATCAAAAATACTCAAAGTCAAGTAGCAACTATCGAACAAGGTGTACCACAAGGCTCCATACTCGGACCTTATTTTTTTTAATATATGCTAATGACTTAATCAACTACTTTCATGCACTCTCATCCGTTCAGGTGAATATGCGGATGACACCAACTTCCTGATCAAGGATCGAAATACGCTCGCTCCCGCAGAAAGTACAGAGTTAGTATACGAAAGAATAATTACATGGCAAAATGAAAACCAGTTGGAATTTAATGTAACGAAAACAACTCTAATGAATTTCACTTTGAGTAATGCTACTGAACCCCTCAACATTTTTGAAAATAATGAATTACACGTTGAATCGTGTAGAACTAGCATGATGCATGGTGGACACCGCACATTGAATCACTTTGTGAAAAACTGTGTAAACAGTGTTTTGCGCTGAGGTTTATGGCGAACCACTGTGGAAAATAGGTCCTGATAAATCTATATTATGCAACCATCAACTGTCATCTGGGATATGGAATTCTGAACTGGGCTACTGGATCATCTGCGAACAGGGTGTACATTCTTCAAAAATATGCCATTCGCATCATTGCTGGTTTGGAATGCCAACAATCTTGTGAAAGTACTTTTAAAGAGCTCATAATACTCACGGTTGCGGGTTTGTATATCTACGAGGTCTGCATCTACGTTTATAAAAACAGACCTATGTTCTCATCCAAACGACCAGCTCATGAATATTCCACTCGTTCAGAAGATTTACTATTACCGAATTCACATCGCATCTCTCTCTATCAAAAAAGTCATCTCTATCTAGGATCTACATTATTCAATAAGTTAGACCTATTATAGATATTTTCATATCTGCTCTGAAAAGTAGCCTCGTCGAGAAAAATTGCTACACCATCGATGCATTTTTTAGCTGAACTGCATTATTACAATAGTTAATTATATGTATATACTCATTTATATAACTTTTTTCAAAAATAAAAACATGTTTTCTGTCTTGCTAACTTTTTACTCCCTGTGACTTTTTCCTAGTCATTGTACATTTTAACTAGTGAAATAAATAGTATTATTATCATTATCATACTATAACAAAGCATTCATTAATTTGTTCATGAGACGGAGACGAATAACTATGATGAGAATTATTTCTGTTCGCCATTATTGTGAGCGTTTATATAAATTAAACAGAGAAATTCGATCAATAGAATTTATATTAGCAATTGATTCCATTCATCTACTTGTCGCCGCATCTTTTATCAGCTAGAAAGATAAAATGATTTCGACAATATTTGTTTTGCGATAAAGCGTTATCTTTTGTTAACTGTTCAATGTTTTTATCAATTCATATGGTGTATCAGATTCTCGCAGTGGTGTATTTTGTGAAACAATAAATTCTGTTGTTATTACGATGGTGAGTAGAATACATTGATTTCATTTATTAGTTTTTTTTTCAATCTATAGAGGCTCATTCAATTTTCGATGTTATACAGGATTGTTCTTACTCTCAATTTAAGTTTCAACATGATAATGATTCATGAAAAAGTAATCTGTAGAAGTAATGATCACTGAAATTCTTTGAGAGATGAGACAATAGGATCATGAAGTGATCAGCATCAGTTGGATGATGAAATATTTCTTGTTACAGATGACGATATTGATGAAGATTAACTGAAAATCCTGATGTGTTAGCGATTCGACAGAAATATCCATGTTCAGCTATGTGAAGAAGTTATCAAGTAAGTATATAGTCTATCGAAAAAATTTAAGTAAAAACAGCCGAATCATTCGTTATATTATTAAATGAACTTGAAAATTCAAATTTTCAACTATCTGATATGGTGTTCAAATTGGTTGATTATAGTAACTGATGACTCATTGTTTACGATATGGTTGAAACATTATGACAACATTGAAAAACTATCCACTTACTAATATATATTTTCCATGTAATGATATTGAAGGGGTGATTCGATTGATGACAAAAAATATGGAATAAGAATCCTTGGCTCAATTAGAGAAAAAAAGTTCGTAGGAACATATGCCTTGAACCTCTTAACTTTCGAGGTATATAGGATTCTGAATATTTAAGGAAATAATCGTTTACTTATCATAACTACGAAACAACAGGTACTGTTCTAAATATTTTCATTGAATCTGACATGCACCTATTAAGCACCATGGTAGCTTGTAAGTGGAAACGGTGCATCTGACAAAAATTACAAATTCAAATTGTTGCAAAATGGATTAGAATTTCGAAAATGACTTTTATTTCTAGAAAAGCGAGGGCGTATCATATTTTCTTGAAAAAATTTCGAGTATATGTACATCCCATACGAGCGCCACTAGTGAAAAGATTGAGAAATCACCTGCATCAAAAACATTCTGTTGGTGCTCAGTAAGTGCATGTGAAATTCCATGAGAATATCTAGAACCGCATTGAAGTTATCATAAGAAGACGATTTTTAAGCAATCAATTGATACACCCCATATCTATTTTGGTTATTTGAATCAAAAATCGATGTATGGTTTTCCCCCATTGAGAAGGATAACTATAATATGTAGAAATAGATAATCATATCCATTTTGTTTCAGGCACGATGGGTAATCAGCACGTCAAACCCGACGAAAAATTGAACATCATCAATGTAGAAGTGAGTTCTCTCAGATATGGAATCCGCAATTTCAGAAGAGGTATACCACGGGAAACCCAACAAATCCAAGTTCAAAACTTAGCCAGGTATGCCAGCGAAGTCAATTCGCTGAAGGGCAAAGTGAAAAATAAGAACTTCACCAGAACAATGGAGAATATATCACGTACCATGAACGAAATACTCTCCATTCCCCTTCGAGACTCAATGTTAGATTCTGGAGCGATAGAGACTGATTCCTTCGTCGATGTGTCAATCAACAAAAGGCACAGCAAGAGTCTCACCCTCATGCCCACAAGAAACCCGAAAGTCAGTCAAGGGACTACGATCAAGCATGTTCCAACCATCAAAGAAGTCGACGTCAAGTTCAAATCCGTCAAGCCCCAAATCAACCTTGCCATCGAAAACAAAGACAGTACTCAACTGAGAGTTCTTCAGCAAATCATAAAAGTGCTTGCGACGGATCTGGAATTAATTGAAGCTCCAGACAATACTCCAGTTGGTGATAGAAAAGAAAAATTGGTATCGATGTTAACAACGTCCTACCAGAAAATTAGTGCAGCTCTGAAAGATATACGCAAAAGTAGGGATCTGGATCTGGCAAAACAGCAAAGAAAGAATGAGGCTGCAACCCAACAGCTTGAGGAGATAAGGAAAGAACTTGAGGCAACAGACACGTATTTGACAATAGCTGTCAAATACGAAAAACCAGATTCGGTGAAAAAATGCCAAGAAGAGTTGAGAAGGTTGAACGAGAAGTTGTTGGCAGTTGAAACATCGGAAGATGGTATCAAGGCTAACAAGATGCTGATGGTGGACAAAATAAGTTGGTTGAGTAAATACGCGAATGATTGTCAGAAGAAAGGTAGTCAATCAGATCTAACAAAAGCTCAGTCTAACTACGAAGAACTCATTAAAGAGATAGCCAGTGGAAAAAATAAAGATGAACATGAGATGTTGATTAAATTAGATAGCCTTGGGGATTTCGTGAACAAGATATCGGATGACGACAAACCTAAGGCCAAACAAAAATTACAGCTTCTCAATAACATACAGGAAACCAAATTATCAATGACCAATGTGAACAAAGAATCATCTCCAGCCAAAAAAGAAATCAAAGATGAACTTCGGGTTACTCTTTCAGACAAAATTGACATCTTGGATGAGCAGTGGGATTCAATTGAGAAGGAAATGAAATCTGGTTTAGTTCTTTCTGAGAGAGACAGAAAAAAACTCATAACTGTATTGGGCAAAGTAAAGGATTCCATGTCGAATGTGAGAAATGAATTACTCGACCTAAACAAAATCAAACTAGGTGGAAAACTGAACCGCTCAGCTCCAAATTTGGTGAAATCTTCTCCAGTCCACAATAAATTCAGCAGCAGCTTGAGTGTCAACTATCTTCCAGAACTACCAATGAAAACAAAAGCAAAAATATACAATCTGGAATCACCGAAAGTTTGTTTTGTGACAAAAGTTGATCAGACTAGCAACATGGTCAATCCTACGTTTGACGATCATGATTCTTTCTCCATAATAGAAGGAATAAAAATACAAGTGAATTATATCAATGAAAAATTCGACCAAATCGATGATGAGAATCATATTAAGAATAAATTGGAATCTTTCGAACAAACACTAGACAAATACCTGACAGATGAAAACGAGACCATTGTTAACAGCGCAAAATTCGTACTAGCCGAAATCAAATCTCTGATGAGAAAAATATGCAAGTTGAAACGTTTGAAAGAAATATACTTGTTCGGAAAAATCGAAGATATTCAGGACGATATAGAACGACTCAGGAGAATTGTCAACGATTATCCTGAGGCCACTAGTGGCAATTCTTTCGAGACTATAGTGAAACAGCTCAAATGCTGCGAAGCTTTTCTCTCAGCTAATAAATTCATAGCTATTGAACACAGAGAAGAAATGCTGAGCAGATTTCAGTCGATTTCGAGAATACTCGAAAAGAAAACTGACATAAAACTGAACCTCGATAGCTTGAAAGAGAAGGTCAAGAGATTCTCAGGAGCTTTCCGAGGTGTACTCTATAACAAATTAGAGAAAGATCTCAATAGAATTTTGGTGGATACAAGCGAATATATCGAGAACAAAAGAGTTGCTGATGGTATCACTAGGGAAACTGAAAAACAGCTGAAAATCTTAGAAAGCAGAGCGAGCCTCGCCCAAAGCTTCAGAGGAAGCTTGACTGAAATTCCTATAATGGAAACTGGAGATAAGTTGAACAATTTGAAAATGGAATTAGAAAAAATTCGAAACGAGCTACAAGCAAATTCTAACAACGATATAAATTTCTATCGGAGACTGAGAAGTCGGTTGGATTTAGTTACTTTGGATATGTATCAACTGAAGAATTTGAACGAAAATGAAGACCAAGTTAAGATTCTTATGTATAATGATATTGATTCTCTGAAAAGTACCGTGGATGCAAAAATTGCCTTAGGTGAGAACAGCTTGAACTCGACAATAGTGCCAGTGGTCAATAATGAAACAATAAAAAAAGCTGAAGTATTTGATGAAGTTGAAGAAAAATTAGAGCAGCTCAAGAAAGAAATTGAATTGTTTGTTGGAACTACATCGGACAATAAATTCTATGAGCTAGATGAATATTCTTCGATACTGATTTCAAGAATGGAGGATATGGAAGTACCCAAAGGCACCAAATTACATAGCAGAAAACTTCATATCCTCAAAGAGTTATACGAGTACGGCAACTTACTGGATAAGAGAGCGATGGAAACGGAAAATTTGTTACAGTATGAGAGAGACATTGCGGATATTGAGAGCCATTTCAGCTATTATTCAAAATCACCCAAAGACCTGGAGAAACTCGCAGACAAAATTGTCTATCTAAAATCCAGTCTTGCGACAAATACCTTCAATGATCAATTGCTCACGAGAAAACGCAGCTGTATTGAACAGGTGGACCAGATCTCAAGAAAAATCAGTACGAACAATCAAACTGGCAACTATGAAGAAATGATACAAAAATTGGAACAAGAATTTCGCAGTTTATCTGAGTATATTCTGAAAACTCCACAAAGCAGCACAGCCGAGAATTATCAAATTGAGAAACTGATGAATTTGAAGGCTGAAGTTGAGAAGCTTGACCCCTCAGATGATAGTAGTAAAACGAATCTTCTGGAGGAAATTGAAGATTTACAACAAAAAATGCGGGAAAAAGAAGTGGTTGAAGGATTATTCGAACAGCTCAATGAATTCGATTCCCGAATTACCGGTTCTGTCAGTGGTAAAGAATCAAATTCATTAGAAACGGAGATCAAGAAATTTCATTCTGATATTGATAAAATAAAACTCAGTCAAGAAGCTAAGAATTCTGTGATTGAGAAATATAATGATATATTGAAACGAATTAAGAAAATCACCGTACCAAAAGATACTTATATAGGTAGTACAGCGTTCTTGAAAGATCTAGAACTGAAAGGAAGCATGACAGTTCACAACGATGAGGATCCTATGATGAAGAATCTAAATGCATCTGAAAAACGCATCAATAAAATAGCAGCTGATATTTCTCAGTTCAATGACTCTGAAACTAGCGAGGAGTACCATCGACTAGAAGATGCAATTTTGAGGGAGAACGTATTTTTGAAAAAACTCGATATCTCGAAGGATGATACGAAATTGAATGAACGAAAAATCCAATTGAAAGAAAAGATTTTGAAATGTTTGGAGGTCCTGGATGATAAAATTCAAACACTTGAAGATTTGCACAGTATTGAATATCAACTTGAAGAATTTCAAAAACCTATGGGAGAGGAAATAACAAGTAAACTACAAAATGAACTTGATGAAAAATTGATTTCGCTCCAAGTGAAGTTAGGACAAATAAGTGTAGATAGTAAGTTAAGTGAGAGAAAACTTATCTTAGAAAATAAGATTGTAGAATATTCGAAGCAGCTCAAGGATATGTCACTGCAACTGTCACCTACCATTTCATAGACACTGGTTCATGTTAATTCAATTCAAATATTTGTAATTAAAAATTTTATTCTGATGAATATTGAGAAGTCACAAATAGCTGTTTCCAAAATGTGACCACAATAATTATTCATTCCTGCATGTTTCATACAAGAAGATTGTTCAATTCTGTGTTGAACAGTCTGAAAAATCAATAAAATATGTGAACTTTCGAAACTGAAGTTTTTAAACCATCCTTTTCTTCCGTCGCACTGACGGTGATACTTCTACTGAATACATGGTGCTCAAAACTATTACATGAGAATATACAATATTCGACAAAGATCTTAATCAAAATATTTGAATGGATCATGAGTACAATTGCATTCTATCCGAAACTTAGCTTCTGTTCGAGATAGGTATAGTGCATGCCCTGAAATTGAAGTGGGACACCTGGAATTTTCGCTCAGATTCGTAAGATTATAACTTTCAACAAAATTAACCGATTCAAATTCTGTTCTCAGATTCCAGAAGCCCATTTTATTGTCTTCAGAATCATGATTTCAAGGAACCAAAAAATGAGATAATGAATATTTCACTAGGCCATGAATGACACACTGCTAACTTGCATCGAATAGCTTGGAATTATCTCATTCCGTCCAAAAATGTTTCATCTGGTTTTCTCATGTCATTCCTCGTGATAGTTTTACATTTCTATTGAATATTTGCACTGTTCAGTTAATATGATTTCTACGGAGGCGCTGCAGGGCCACCTATACATTTTTTTTTGAATCCCGACTTTAAAGTCGGGGGTCCGAGATTAAAGTCGGGGGTCCGAGATTAAAGTCGGGGGTCCTGATCTGGAAATACAGGGTGATTCAGAAAGTAGCTTGTGTGGGCCTATGAGGGCAAAGTCCGATAGGTTAAGGCAAGAGAAGAAGAATAGTGGAGGTTATGGTTAGGTTAGGTAAGCAAAAAAGAGCCCGGGAAACAGTCTTTAGAGGTTAGAAAAAGAAGGTCAGAATTAGTTTAGCGTCTAGTAGTAGGTTCATGAATTACTTGAGTTCTGATAATAAAAAACAGATCATCCTGACAGATTATTTCAATGAGAACCACCTACACTTGAGAACTTATTTCTTAGAATACCTTGACTTTCAGTTTCATGTTCTCAGTTTCACTTTCGTTCAGTAAGATTTGATCGAGTCTCGGAATATTTTTTTCGTTTCCATTGTATCGAAATAATTTATTCTCCACGGAATATATGCTGATATTTAAAATTACGTGTTATGCTTTGGAAGTACTTTTCTTCAATGTTTTGTTCTCCCTTCATTTTTTGAATGGGTTAACGGAAAAAAGTGGAACCCGAGGTAATGGAATTCATGCATGAATACTATCATATGTTTGAGTAAAATTGACAGATAAAAATTCCAAGATGGCGACTTGACGCCATCCAGTGAAAAAATGGAGAATGAGTCTTGTTATAGATTTCAGCTCCTGACGAATACTTCACAACCCTGGAATATGATGTCAATATCTTCACCAACTACAAAATGGCGATACATCGAAAATGTCATAAGTAAATTTCACTCCAAAATGAAGGAATCATGCATCCATTTCATTATACCCCAATTTTCGATTCTTTCGTTGACCTGTTCGAGAAATTGAATGCGAGATACATCAAAGAAGATCACTGTATATGACGACAAAGATTGGCAATTCATTCACTCGATATTGTTTGCTCCTAAAAGTTCATTGAGCATTATCATTGACCGAAAGAATTGTGATAAAAAAGGCATCGAGACTTTCAAAGTATTACATTAAAAATTATAATTTCAGGATTTCATTCGTGAAGAATGAAACTTTTCAGATACTATCAAATGGAAGATAAAAAAATCGATTCGACTCTAGATTGATATTTTACCAAATGAAAAAACAACTCGTCACCTCAAAAGCAGAGTGTTGTATGTGCACTATCTGGTCTGAATGCAGATCGTCATCCAGTAGAGACATACATATTCTATCAATAGAGAAAGTATTTTATGTGCCAACTTGGTGGTGAAATTGGAATCATGAATAAACAGAATGAAGTATGTGCTGATTTCTCAGAAGTACCGAATGGTTGCATTGGGCACACTTTCCCATATAACAAACACAACATTCTCAGATTGTATGTAACAATTATAACTTGTTTGTATCTTCATTCACCACTGAAAACTGCTCTGAAATACCTGATTCGATGAATTGATATATATTTCTTAAATTTCCTTCTACAATTTGAGCAAGACTTGTTTTGAATCGAATAATTGGAGATGGGGATGGGAAATGGAGATATTGAGATGTCAAAAATCTTCGAATCCAGTTTACTCGGAATAATGTGATTTACACATAAGTATAACGAATTGATGAAATTCACCTGAAAGTGATTTTCCATGCGACTATTTGAATCACCCTATATTTTTGGAATGAGAGGAATATCCTGATCCATGAGGGGATATAGGAGAATTTGAAATCAATATTCAATTCCCATCCATGAAAAAATATACCAGATCAAAATTATCCACCTGATAGCAAAAGAAATCGAGAATGTTTCAAGATATCGAATCATTCTTCAGGATTGTGAAGAAATTTATCACCTATGTGATCATCCAAATGATCCATATACTATCTGAGACCATGAAAATGCCACTTACACACAGATTGAAGCCTGTACAGAACTCTGGAAATCACTCAGTATCGATAGGGGGATAGATCTCAAGTGGTTCTGATAATCTATGTGTCACATGACCGTGAAAAATGTTCTTGTGAAGATCATTAGAAATGAAACACACTATTTTTGTGACATTTCACAAAGAAATTATAATCGAAATGTGGAACCATTTCGAGATATATTATGACATCAAATTCCATGATACAACATGTGAAAACCAGAAAAAAAATCGGCTCATTTATTCGGAAGTTATAATTTTTCGAATGTGTGCGAAAATTTCAGGTGTCCCACCTCAATTGCGAGTACTGTTAATACCTCTGTAACTATCGATCATCCATAGTTTTCACTGAGATATTTCAATGCTGAGCTGCAACTGCCTGAAACTAGAATTTCATTCGATAAACACCCATCTTCAAGAAAATATGAATACTTATCATATTTTTTTGGTCCACTCTATATTAGCTGGTATTACTCATCTAGGTATCATAGCATCGTTTATCAGAATCGCTGAACACAGCGCAATGGTGTTTACCACGAGCTCATTGTTATTTCAAACATCGCGTCACCCATGTTTGTCACGATTTATTATTAACACAGTCCATTGTCGTGTATGTTCTAATCTTATCAATTGGACTGAACCAGAAAACCTTGATGAGATGACGTTCAAACAGTAATCATATGATATTCAGTCGTGTTCCTTGTTAAACATCTCATGTTAGTGCGAATATTAATTAGTTGAAAAAGTTAACGTGAAATAGTGGAATTCAGTTATGAATCACACGAAAGACAAGCTACCTCATACGGACGTTACAAAATTACATGGCAGTGAATCAGAAATTGTTAAATTTGGGCAAAGGATTACCCAAAATGAGGTTGAAGAGCAACTCAAAGCAATGAAACAAAGAAGACTGAGTAGAATGAATATTTTGGAAGACGAAAAATCAATAGATAAGACTGTGAACACTTGTTCATCTTTCAAAAGTGCCGCCAAAATAGTGATGAACAATAATAAGATCTGTGAAACCGAGAATTCTGATATAAGATCAACTTGTGAATCGGACAAATTACAAAAGCTGGGTACATCTGAAGGTGTCATCAACCACAAAACGATCCAGTCATCGAATAATAACGTCTTTGCGTATTTACCTAGTAGTGATTCTAGTTCGAAGAAACAGCAACTTCAAGTTCCTTCTGCGGAATTGGTTACCAAGAACAATAACCTAACTGATCCCAATGAGGGAAAACAAAGAAGAACTATTTACTACAAAGACAACGAAGCTATACCTCAAGATCTGGTATGTTCCACTGAGAAAGCTAAACAATACATCAGTGACACTAGGAATTCACCAAAGAATATAAGACTTGGCAAAGAAGACAATCTCAGTGTGAACAAAAAACTTCCAGTTGTGTCAACAGGGAAACACGAAATTGATTCGAGATTATCCAAAGCACCAACTTTCCACCCCAAAACTTCTTCAAGTCCAGGACATGGTAACAGTGAAAGAATTCTCAAGAAGTTCCAGCTGAACTGGAATAACCTGAACGATATTTTGGAAAATAGTTCCGATGTGGATTTAGACGAAATGAATGATCTGATGAACAGTATGGAAGAAGCTTCTTCATTGATTGGTGAATATCGAGAAAAACTGGAAAGCTTAGAACAAAAACTGGCCCACGAGATGAGTGGTAGACGCAAGTTGAATCGCATGAAATGTCAAGTGGAACAGTTGAAACCGCAAATCAAATATTTCAGAGGGCTAAGAAAGGATTCTGGATATTTACAGTTGTCTAATAAGCTCTCTAATATTTTTCTAGAGATTCACAAAGTGCCAGATTCTTACAAACTCTCCAGTGAGAAAGAAGAGGTCATTTCCGAAGTCAATTCGAGCATCAAAGACTTAGAGGCTAGAGTTAAAAAGAATCAAACCTTCTTGGAATTTATTCTGAATGAACAAGTTCTGTGTATAAGAGATAATCATTATAAAAGTTCCAAGTAATATTGAAAAATAATTAGATCTGAAAGAAGAGATGATTTGAACTATACTCGTTTACCATCGTGAACAATTAAATAAAAAATCATCTCAAGACATAATGACCAAATATACCTGGGTTGGAACAACAGATTTCATGCAGCAATCACGAATTGGATTTAATCAGAGGTGAGTTCAGCGTTGCTAAACTATTGACATACCTACTGACTTTATTTTCGAATTATTATCGTGTGTGTTCGTCGTGGCTTATATCTTGGAAAGTAGTTATTATCTAATCTTAGGAAGAAGTCCATGGTAACTCAAAGATCAATTTCAGAGGAACATGTTTCGGGCTTATATAAGCCCATCATCAGCCAATAGAAAATATTATAGTTCTAGAAAAATCAGTGTTGACTTAGGATATAGATGCAAGAATATTTCCTTGTTCGCACTATTATTTAACGCCTCGACACGTGTTTCGCTAACTATGTTAGCATCTTCAGGAGAAGATTAAAACTGAGTTTTAACATAGTTAGCGAAACACGTGTCGAGGCGTTAAATAATAGTGCGAACAAGGAAATATGCTCCATGATGTGGAAAACTATTGATTTAGAATATTAAGAGAAAAAGTGAAGAAACCTAAAAAACTTACTGTCACTGTTAAATAATATAAAATTATGCAATAAATTTATTTGAATATAAATTTATGTCGTTTAAGGTCGGGTTCATATTTTACAAGGGCCCACGTGCCCTTGAATTATCGAAAGGTGATAATTAAACTATGAAAAATCGAACTAAAAGTTTTATGAGGTATCAAAATTAACCTGTTGAAGAGAAGGAATCACATGTGCGTGAAACTGAAGGTTATAAAAATTGACATGACAGACGTCAGAAATTAAAAATGTCAAAAGTCAAGCATATCAGAGAACATTAAGATACATCAGTTCAATGATTTTGATTTGAGCAGTCAGCACACACAGTTCCGAAGAACAAACACTATGTCAGATTGGAAACGGAAAACAAGATTGGTAAACAATACTCGGTTCTCATGCCCTGGAACCACCAACCCACAACAAAGAGCAAGGTGAGACAGAATCAAATGGGATGGTTTTATTTAGTGTACTTTAATGAATTGAACATTTTTCGGCAATCAAAATGGGTTTGTTCTTCCAGAGGAATTACATTATCATTTTTTTTACGTTTTTAATCTGACATAGTGTTTGTTCTTTAGTATTGTGTGCTCACTGCTCAAAATCATTATTATTTAACTGATGTATCTTAATGTTCTATGATTTGCTTGACTCATCTTATTTGACAGTGACAGTAGGTTTTTCAGGTTTCTTCACTTTTTCTTTCAATATTCTTAATCAATTGTTTTCCAGATCATGGAGCATAAATTTCCTTGTTTGCACTATTATTAACTGTACTATTTGTATGCCATTTTTTTTTTCATTTCCATGTAAGTACTAAGTAATTCTTGCATCTATATCCTAAGTCAGCACTGATTTTTCTAGACTTATTATAATTTCTATTGGCTGATGATGGGCTTATACAGGGTGTCCTTAAAAGGTCTTTACAAAAAGCTACCACATATTCTTCAGACCAAAACAATTCGATACAAGCAAACTTACCTCAGTAAAAAGTTGCTTAGTTTGGGCGCTAGACGGCTCTGAAGTTGAAATTTTCAAATCGATTTTGCTTCATAACTTTTGAACGGCTCATGAGATTTTTTTCAAATTTGGTACGTTGGCATAGACTCATCGGGCAATGAAACTCATATCATAATCATAATGAATATCATTCCATGGGCGTAGAACTTGATTTTTTCAGGAAATAAACATCTAAAACTCCTACGCCAATGGAAAAAAATTAGTTTCAATATGAAATCTAAATTATTCAACTCATTCACTACAAAAAAGGTACTCTTGACAAAAGTCGATTCCTCTCATGGTTTCGACAAAATTTTAATTTTAGTGATTTAGAGCATAATTAATAATAAAACGATCAACAGATATTTCATAAAAATTGTTCAAAATGTTCACCATTTTCACGTATACAAAGATTTATACGACGCAAAAAGTTGAAATGTACTCTTTGCATAACTTCTTCATCGCCTGTAAGATTATTCGTCGCCTGTTGGATACGTTGCCATAATTGTTCTACAGTATTCACAGGGGTCTTGTAAACCGTAGACTTGAGATAACCCCATACAAAATAATCAATCGGTGTTAAGTCTGGAGAACGTGGTGGCCAATTCACGGGTGCATCATTACCTCTACCTATCCATCTGTCTGGGTACTGTTGGTTTAAAAAATTCCTAACATCCACCGAAAAATGTGGTGGAGCTCCATCGTGCATAAACCACATATCTACCCGATGTTGGAGTGGTAAATCTTCCAACAAATTTGGCAACGTATTTCGTAGATGTTGTAAATACATGTCTCCTGTTAATATTTGTGGAAGTATGACAAGACCAATTATAAAATTTCCTATTATTCCAGCCCAAACGTTGATTTTGAATTCGTGTTGAAAATAGTTTATTTTAATGGAATGAGGATTTTCAATTGCATAAACGTGTTCATTATGAAAATTAGTTATTCCTCTTCTCGTGAAACAGGCTTCATCAGTGAACAAAATATTCTTTTCAAAGTTCAGATTCATTTCTCTTTGCAAATTAATGAACCTACAAAACATCAGACGACTTTGTGAATCATGGATCAATAAATCTTGAACTGGCGTCTTGTGGTATGGGTATAATAATTGTTCTCTTAGTACTTCATGAACGGCATTCCTAGAAACTTCTAGTTCATTACTTATCCGTCTAGTACTCAATTCTGGATTTTCTTCAATACGGTCTAAAATTTCTACTTCGACTTCGGGAATCCTTACATAACGCTGTCTTCCATAATCACCAGTTCTAGGAGCAAAATGATTGGTCTCCCGAAGACGTCTCTCAACTGCAGCAAAGGTTGGGTGGCTTGGTACGCGACGATTTGGAAACCTTGCCGAATACACCCTCACACTCTCTCGACCATTTCCTTGACAATATCCGAATACCAATAACATATCGGTGTATTCTTCATTGGTGTATTGTACGGCCATGATAAATCAGAAAAGTCCGATATCAACAATCAACGTCAATAAAACTCGACAAATCAACACAGATGAAACTATGGAAACCAATAATGTGAATATCACTGTTTTCGAGCAGATAATAATAGTCTTCAGAAAAAAAAACCAGTGCTACTTATTTTCAATAGAAATAACCTAAGCAAAAAGTACATCTCAACTTTTTGCGTTGTATAAATCTTTGTATACGTGAAAATGGTGAACATTTTGAACAATTTTTATGAAATATCTGTTAATCGTTTTATTATTTAAATATGCGCGAAATCACTAAAACTTAAATATTGTCGAAACCATCAGAGTAATCGAATTTTATCAGGAGTACCTTTTTTGTAGTGAATGATTTGGGCTATCTAGATGTCATACTGAAACTGATTTTTTTTCATTGGCGTAGAAGTTTTAGATGTTTATTTCCTGAAAAAATCAAGTTCTACGCCCATGGAATGATATTCATTATGATTATGATATGAGTTTCATTGCCCGATGAGTCTATGCCAACGTACCAAATTTGAAAAAAATCTCATGATCCGTTCCAAAGTTATGAAGCAAAATCGATTTGAAAATTTCAACTTCAGAGCCGTCTAGCGCCCAAACTAAGCAACTTTTTACTGAGGTAAGTTTGCTTGTATCGAATTGTTTTGGTCTGAAGAATATGTGGTAGCTTTTTGTAAAGACCTTTTAAGGACACCCTGTATAAGCCCGAAACATGTTCCTTCAAGATTGATATTTGATCATTCAAATAAATGAGATGAATTTGGGAATTCATCTATGTAGTTATCATCTGTTGAATATATCGAGGAAGAATTAATATTTCCATCACATAGAGAATGTGAATTCTTATTATTGTATTTCTCCATATTTATATTCATTTTTTCCAAATTCATAATTTATCTGAGAATATTGCTTCTCAATACTTCGAATAAAACATTTTTTCGGAAAAACTGTTCCTTCAAAAGTGCGTAGCCAGTTTTTTTAACTCTTGCTGCACACGAATGAAAATTCGATAATGTTCGGAAAACATATCGTGCGTACCTGTAGGGAGGATAGGAGGAGGAGGTAGGTAGGTGTTGGAATTGCTATGAACTAGGATCTGAGAATGCAATTTCGTACAAATGAGAAATTTGAGAGACTTATATTTTCGAGAAACTCCAGGCTAGACTATCCTTCATAATCTTTTCTAGAAATATAATAAAGCTTACCGTCATCATCTATCGTTTTCAATGGACGTCTCATAAATGCACTACTGAAAAGTTCACTTTCTTGTTTGTCAAGAGAGTAAATCAACTCCGTGCAGAAAAGCGTATCATCATCCATCAACCGTTTGAAAAGGTATAATGTGTCGCAACTTCACTTCTGTATCGTAAGTGCTACCGCCGCTCAAGAGACAAATGGTAGAGCAGGTTTTCCAGATCTCGAGGAAACTGGCTATAAGTAGACACAATTTTATGCTTTCAACTACTTCTTTTCATAAGCGCTATCAATCATTCCATTCATGGAAATATTTGCTTCAACATCGGTAGGTATACAGGGTGATCCCCAATTTCTTCGATATGTGATATTTCGGTCAAATTCAGATATTTGTTTTCTTCTCATTAGTTAGGATATTCCACGTTGCTCATATTATGAATTTCTAACTTTACTTCCGTCAAAATGAATTCAATAGGTGTAGTAGAGGGTATGTGAATGCTCCTTCAAGTGATGAAATTTGAATTTGATGAGAGGAGTGATGCACCAATTCGGTTTCGAAATAAATTAGAGAAAATATTGGGGGTGATTCGTTTATGAGATTTTTGATTTGATTTTGAATTGAAACATTTTTCTGTTTATTTCTCAATCCCAGAAATTATCGAGATATTATACTGCATAAAACAATTTAGAGACAATCTGAAGTTTTCAACAACTATATTTGATTGATCAGATTCTCAAAATTTTCAAGAAAAAGTATCTGGATCCATCAATTCAGAGATAGTATGGACTTGGTCATAATATATTATGTAACACTGTGAGCTGCAGTGGTGGTCAATTCCTGTGAATCATTGATGAGGAGCAAAACCAACACACGTGACAAAATTGGCTCAACTCTCGACTGTTTACAGATTGCCAGTTCATTGAATTCATTCGTGTCGAACAGGTCAGCCAATCAATGTTTGCAGAACGTTTTGGAACGTTACAATAACAGTACAAGTGTTAATCCACAAATGTACTACCCAGACACTCTGTTATGGAATAACAAACTGCTGGAGCACATTGACGGTCCATGGATTAGAAATGATAATATTTTACAATCCTGAAGATCGATGTATGGCATGTATTTTCACTATCAGCTGGAAACGTACTCTGTTATATAATCCATTATGATCCAAGGGAAACTGCTTTCCTGTTAAGTTATACAATATACATTCAGTGATAGGCTGATAGATTAAACAACCTCAATCCTCTCAAATAGTTTTTCTCAATTATTTTGGCATACGATTCTTTTTGGGCTATATCATCAATTCAAGAATTTCATCACATTGTGCTGTTGTACAATACATAAAGAATTCAGCAGTTTGAACCGTTTGTCATTTCTTGTTGAAATGCCTTCTGCGACCTCTGCAATAGAGGTGAAAATGTTTACACACACAACCATATTTCGCCAGCATGTCAGACGTTCGTCTGCGCGGATCCAAGCTCTTTGCCTTATTGTAAAAATTTCACAAGTCTCCCTATCAGCTCCTATTGCAGAAGGAAATCTAGAGGGAGATGACAAAATTTCAAAATTGAAATTGTGGCTACAGGAGCAATAATGATATTCGACAATAACATATGTGCTTGGAAACAATAAAATGTTGCGGTTTTCGTTGGTCTGTTGAGATTCAGTTTCTCTATTACATCCTGTAATGACATGCATACCATTAGATTTATTCTATCTCAAACTTGTATCATTATCCGTTGCTGAGATATGGCCGACAGCCGTTCTTAGTTGTTCACCTGGTATATAACATGAATGTCGTATTCTGCACTCATTCACTAGGTTATATCCTATGAAGTGGACATATACAATATAGCACAACATTCAAAACAAATATCTACCCTTTGACCGTTCTGCAGGAATTCTTCTTGAGGGTAATTGGCAAGGTAAACCGAATAGAGTCCTCGAAACCACTTTCCACCCTATCAAAAATATTGAATATCAGAGAGCTATGTTGCATCTGAATCTGTGAGAAGATACCAATTCTTGCTAAATATCAACGTTCAGTTTATCCGTAACCAGAGAAACGAACTGATCATGCGCATACCTCTTGCAAAATAACTCAAAAACCTTCCCTGTATATGTCGCCTAAAATTATCAATATTATTTCTCAAGACCGCATTGCAAGTCAAAATTCAAGTAATATTTGACATTATTGAGTAAAGGAAATATTTTCAATTATAAGTTTGAATATGAATTCCAAAACTAATGAAAATATTCAAGGTAACCTATGGAATGATATCAATATTTATGTATTTATATATTTTTCTTCTCACTTGTTTGTTCTGAAATTTTTTCACACTCTTTGTATATTTACTTGTATAATTATGATTATTTCCTTACCACACATATATAATATTGCTACGTTGTGATGATGCCAGCAAATGTATTCATTGTTTGGAAAGCATTGATAAGTGTGTCAAAACTTATAAATGAGTAGATATGTGGAATGAAAATAAACATATATATACATTGATATAAAATATCACAGTTTTCCATAGATATGTGCTCAGTGAATTTACACACAGTTAACCACATCTTATAAATTACTAAGTGAAATCGAGGAAGACGATGTAGGTATTAGTATAGGTATTAGTGTATGGGTATAACCCATGTATTGCAGTTATTATAAACATCTAATATCTATACTGTATTGACGCTCCCAATGAGGCAATAATGTTAGTAATTGATATGTACCTACCCGACAATTTTTTTTTTGCCTTGAAAGACAGCACAATTATGTGATGGCATGCTTGAAGAAATGAATATCTCAAAAACACGATTCATAAGGCAAGAAATTTTTGAAGAATTACTTCAATCCTCTAAGTAAGCAGATATGATGAGTGAAGTTGTTTTGATGTCTTACCTCCAGGATCAGTCATCTTGTCAAATGTGTGCGCGACCGTTTCAAGAACTGTGGTCTACTTTACTGATTGTCAGCAAACTACTCCAATGAACATTTTCCGAGATCACTTGCTCACACTGAATAATTCCACAAATATAACATTCGAAAACTTCCGTGATTTCATAGAATATCTGGGTTTATGCTTTTGGCAATCATAAACTGTACAAAAGCTCGTTTATCTCCATGTTCGAGAATGAAAACACATTCGCCATGTTTCTTCCTAACTTTTCATGAAACAATACACTAATAAATCGATGACTCTGCAAATCGAATGTGTTATGCAGACATCAATTCATCAAATTCACAAAAACATGGCGAAGACAAAACACATTTCCCCCTATTCAAAAGGAGATAATACTGAAAAGATTGAAAAATACTGCATAACGGGTAATTGCTGACTTGATGGATCCATAATTCATCTCATAGTTGAATGCTGATAGCTTCAATTTAAAATTTGTTTTATGTTACATCCATTACAGAGTTTCATCAATCATTCAATGACTTGAATGTACTTTTCCGACCAATCAACTTGTTGATTATGGCGAGACATTTTGTTTGATTTTGATATCAATGACAATAAACTAGAAATTGAAACGAACTTTATTTTCAACTGATTCAATATTCCCAGAATCGTCGACCTAATATTCCACTAAAAACCTATGTAGTTCGCAGGAGGGCAAGAGAACAAAAAATCAATCAAAAACACAGAAGTTCCTATTCGTAATTTGAATTAATGAAACAAATTCATATCGAGTTATAACATCTTAGATGGAATTTATCTAGATATACAATGAGAGATTCATAAAAAAATCGCTAATGATATTTCGCAACTTTCAACATAAAAACTGGAATTTATCCTAAACATTTGTGTAAACTTAGATCTGTCAGTCACAATAACTTTTTTACACAGTCGAATTAGAGAATGAACATTCGAATGTTTTTTTCATGGTTACCAATTATTCATATTTTCAATATTCGATGCTTCCATTGATAATTTTTTTGTTCGAATACAAGTACGAATGAATACAAAATAGAGAAAATAGTATATTAAACAAGTTTCATGACATATTGTCGCGGCAAAACAGTGTCTCATAAAACTTGAATAATAATGAAATATCATTACATTACTAATACTGCATAAGAGTTTGATCAAGACTTCTCCAATGTTTATCGGAAATTGATGACTGAATTAATTTCGAGTTTTCTCGAGATGCCAGATCGACTTCCTAAATTGATTCTCATATTGACCGGATATATAGCAAACCGATGATATCTTTCTTGATGGCCTTCTTATTCCCCATATTACGACTGCCGGAGAGCAATTTTGTGAATGGCTGACTTTGATTGGAAATTCATATGGCGGATTGCGGAAAAGTTTTATTGTCCATTCCGACATGAATTTCTGTTCGTTTTCTGATAACGCATTCACAGAATGAGTTCTCCTTTGTAAACAACTCATTTCAGCAAGCATGCATTTTTCGTCATTGTTTGTCGATAAGTTCATTTTTGTAGAGTATGTTATAAATTATAAATTGATTATGTGAAGAAATAAATGTACTGATGTACTGATAGAGCAATATTCAAGCTCCTAAACAATATCTTGAATAACTTGAATGCAGAAATAAAGCAAAAAGTAAAAATCAATGGTATCATCAGTGATTCATTGCCAATTGCAATAGGAGTCTCTCAGGGAACCATGTTTGGACCCATACTGTTTCTAATATACAGGGTGTAAATTTGAAAACTTTCAATGCGAATATCTCGCAAAATAAAAAAGTTAGAAAAACGCCGCTTGGCAAAAATGCTAAAGAGTTAAGGGGGAGTAGAACCACCATATTTCAGTGAAGGGATGAGTCACCCTGTCAGCGCAACACACCCCAACTTTGAAATGTCAAATGGCACTACCTCTTTTGTGATACCTCAAATGAACGGTCTCAGTCAGTAGTATTCACCTGTACAAGACTTTCTTTCCACCCACTACAGGGTGTACGAAAAACATTAATTCGAGGGTCTAAATTTGAAAAATTTGAATGCGAATATCTCGCTAAATAAAACAGTTAGGAAAACGCCGTTTGGCACAAATGCTACAGAGTTAGGGGGAACTAGAACCACCATACTTCAGTAAAGGGATGAGTCACCCCGTCGGCGCGACACAATCCATCTTTGAAATGTCAAATGGCACTACCTCTTTTGTGATACTTCAAATGAACGGTCTCAGTCAGTAGTATTCACCTGTACAAGACTTATTTTCCACCCACTACAGGGTGAACGGAAAAAATAAAGTCGAATAAAATAAAATGCAGAATGCCGATATATTCCAAGAGATGTGCTCCAAAATGTTAGAATAGCATTTGAACATCGATTATACTATTGCTTACAACAGAATGGAATGCATTTTGAACATCTGATCAAATAAAATATCCTTTTAACACAATTCATTTTATTTTATTCGACTTTATATTTTTCGTACACCCTGTAGTGGGTGGAAAAAAAGTCTTGTACAGGTGAATACTACTGACTGAGACTGTTCATTTGAGGCATCACAAAAAAGGTAGTGCCATTTGACATTCCAAAGTTGGGGTGTGTCGCGCCGACGGGGTGACTCATCCCTTGACCGAAATATGGTGGTTCTAGTTCCCCTTAACTCTTTAGCATTTTTGCCAAACCGCGTTTTTCTAACTTTTTTCTTTCGCGAGATAGTCGCATTGGAAGTTTTCAAATTTACACCCTGTATATCAACAACATTGGATGCCTCAGGAATACAAAAAGTTTCGTCCCTTCGTACCCAGATGATACAGCTGGAAGTTTCGTTGATAATTCTTGAGAATAACTTCATGATGTCATCGGAAAACAACTCGAAATTCTTCATTATCGGCTTTCGAGTCTGAATGTTGACAGAACAAGAGTTTTAACATAGTCTGCTACTGCTAGAGATCATCCTACAACCAAATTTACAAAAATCCTTGAATCTGGATGAGATAATATGAACTGTACTTGCTCAATAATGAAATGAGTTGAATGCATTGAATATATTGGCATGATGATTGACCAAAATCTCCGCTGGATGAACATATACAGTGAGGAGACTAAGAACGTTGATATATACATTTTATCAATTGAGAAATATTATTGATAAATAACTACTATCTATGATGCGTTGGCTAAATCAATATCAAGATACTGCATTATAATTTGGGGTAGCGTAGGTAGAACTATCATGAACAATCTTCATTCAAATAATCCAGAACTTCTTAATAAAAATCATGTTGAAAAAGATCGCAGATACACCCAACTATTTCACTGTATCTAGAAACTGCATATAACATTATAGAACAACCTGTCAATGAGAACTGCATTTGATACAAAAAATAAAACTTAACAATTTATAGCATACTATAGACCGAAAATGGTCAATGGAATACACATCTTGAAATGCTAGGAACAACAAAAAATTGAACAAAGAGATAAAGAAATTTATTGATATCTATTATGATCTATTCAAGCAGCTATTTAACTTAGTTTCCTTCATTCTCAAATATATAATAATATAAATGTGTGAACGGGTAAACAAATATATTGATAGATGGATAGATAGATAAATATACTTTATTGTCGAAGAAAAATAATTTCTTATTGACAAAGCTTGAAGCACAATATAGTCTGTGAAACTCTTAAGAAAATTGTGAAAAAATTTAAAATCAAAACACAAATACACAGAATCACACAATTTGAAACAAGTTCACACGTCATGTATAAAATATAAAATATTGCAATCTAAAACAGAATTGAACATGAAAATTTGCAGTTTGTTAAAAAACAAAATAGTTTTATAATCATTCACAAAATAAAAAAAAAACACAATTTTACAGAGAAACATTATTCGAACATAAGTTCACAAGTCATTAAATCAGAAACATATTTTATAGTTCAAAATCAGACTCCACATATAGGATTGTTATTATTATTTTAGTAATCATATACTTTCATTATTTCAGTTTGTTATTGATACTATTATTTTCATTAGGATTATTATTACTTTTTTTATTATTATAATATTATAACAACTATTATAACTATTATAACTATTATCGCTATAGGATGTTCACAACTCAAGCATTGCTTAGGTGCCTTTCTATAGATTGTGACTGTCAAAAGTGCGTCATTCACAGAATTCCCAGAAAAAATTCTAGAAGGGGCGCTCGTGTGATCATTATGATCAGCATTATTGTTGACTCACCCTGTAGAGATAATATTCGTGCGTGACAGGACTCGCGAGCGTTGGATATTGGTTTATCGTTTGAAAAGGAAGCCGTCTGATTCGATTTGCTATTTGGATCTCTTTCGTTTCTCGCGATATCGCCTCCGCCTTCCCATATCAAAGAGAATAACGACTGGGAAGAGTTGAGATGCATTTCTAGACACTCTCGATGATGCGCGAATTGCAGAACATTTTTATCACTTCTCTTAACCCTGTGAGAACGAGAAGCAGGGGCGGATCCATGCGATGTTTGAGATGGAAAGGCATAGGAAGTCATACTCCCATATCACATTTTTCTTATATTTGATTCAGGCCAGGGAAGAGCACCTCTCATCCTGATATCTATCGTGTGACAAGAAATAATAATAATGGTATCGAAGTTTGATGCGAAGAACCCTCCTGTCCAAAATGAGTCTCAGAAATACATTCTGGGAATTGAAAAATATTGGATGGAACAAATAAATATCAGGAATTCGAGAAGGGTAACTTCGGTCGGAATGATGATATTTTCTCTAGTTCATGGACAATCTTGGTTTTTTGAACTTCTACTGATCATCTAGGTCCTGATCAACTGCATTTCGAAGGAGCTAATTCTCATGAACCTCAGCTTTTCCGAAAGTCTCGATGTTTTGTGCTATAATGACGGACAATTGGAGGAAGTTCCAGGTCCGTAGCGATATGATTATTCCGAACATACCATGTCAGCATTTCCACGTTTTTGATTTGCAATGTTTGTAATCTAGTTATATAAGATTCAGCTGTGTAGCCCCAGACTACCAAGGCATACAGTAAAATTGACCTGATAGTCATGATGTGTATATTGAATTTTCGTCCCAAACCCAATTTACTTCATCTGTTCAGGAATGGATACAGGGCTGCAATGGCTCGTTGACCTCTAGAAACTTGCTGTAAAATGTGCTTGACCTAGGTGTGCTTTGTGTCAATGCACACACTCAAGTACTTAACTTGTGAAAACCATTCTGACTATCGACCATCCAGGATTTTTCTGGTTCTGGAAGGCCTTCGCTCACTTCCGAGTGAAACCAATTGTGTTTTCGCAGGATTCAAATCGATCTTTCATCTAAGAGAGTACTCCTGAAGAGAATTCAGTACGCCTAGAAGATTCATA